CCATGAAAAAAAACCGGCGCTCAAAAAAAAAAGGCCACAGTTTCCCCCTCCCAAACACTAAACTCCGTGAAGAAAAACCGGCGCTCCGCTGCGCTCCGCTCCCCTCTCTCCGAGAAAAAGAAGGCCACAAACAGCGAAAAAAATCGTTCTTCCGCCCAACCCCACCACCCGAAAAAGCGCACATCGTTTCCTCCTCCAAACATATCGTTCCTCCCCCCCCCCCTTCCATCCCACCGAAAAAACGAACATCGCTTCCCCCTCCAAACATTCACACCGCGGAAAAAACTGACATCGTTTCCCCTCCAAACATTCAAACCGCGAAAAAAGTCGGTCTTCCTTCACACTCCACCCACCGAAAAAACGGGCATCGTGTCCCCTTCCAAAGATTCAAACCGTGAAAAAATCGTCCTTACCCCCACTAATATTCACAGCGCGGAAAAAGACTATCTTCCCCCCCCCCACACACCCCACCGCCCCGAAACAGTCGCAAAATTAAAGTAAAGAAATCCGAACACCGACTCGAAATAAAGTTCGAGAAATGCACCCATAATTCCTCCCGGCCCCTGAATGAGTGCAAAGAGATCCAAACACCAAATCGAATGAAAATTCGAGACATGCGCCCATCATCCCCCCCTCCCCAACATGAGTGTAAAGGAATCCAAACACCAAACCGAATGGAAATTCCAGAAATGCGCCCATAATTCCCCCCTCCCGGCCTTCGAATGAGTGCAAAGAAATCCAAACGCCAAATCGAATGAAAATTCGAGAAGTGCGCCCATAATTCCCCCATCCCGGCAACAGAATGAGTGCAAAGAAATTCAATGAAAATTCGAGAAATGCTCCCATAGGTCCCCCCCACCAAAACAAAAATCAGTCGACTTTGAAACACACATTGAAATCAAGAAAGGCTAAAAAAAACACATGTAGACTGGCCCGTCTCGCACACGAGTCACAATGCTGAGAATGTACTGATGCCTGGGGCTGCGGCTTGGCTCCCAAGCTCCGGGGGCTTTTCCCTGAAACGGAGGACACTCAGAACAGTTGCACAAGCAGAGCCACATCAGCGCTCGAGCGAGCCAGGCGCACGCCACCAGAACCGCAAGCCTCAGCCGCCTTGGCCGAAGCCGCCATCGCCGGCAAGACGCCGGTGGCACCTCGGGCTCTGGGCTCTCGAGGGCAAGGAAGGGGCCTGCAAAAGCATGTGCACATGCTTCTCAAACCGTGCTCGTGCTTGGGAAAGGGCAGGTCATGAGCAGAAACGCAGCAAGGGCCGTCGCAGTTGGAGTGGTGATGAAGGCTTCCATTCGGTGGTCGGTGTCCATCAGGGAGCCTTGTATCTGATCGGAGTGACACGCAGTCCCATCTGCAGCTTAAATGGTGCGACTTCACAACAGCATTCACACACATGGCAGGAGTTGCAAAGCTGATTCCAGCCCACACTGCCCAGGCACAGAGCCCAACACCTGCCCCTGCATTGCACACTGGAGAGCCCTTTTCAGCTTGCAGAATGCCCGGATGCCTCTGCACTGACAGAGTCGTGACAATCTCTTCGAAGTACTGCTTCTTATCGCCGTTGAAGCGCACCTTGAAAACTCCGACAGCCGTGCAGGAACGAGACGATGGCATGCAAGGGGGCAGTCGAGCAAGAAGCTCTACCTTGGTGCAGACATGTGCACACCCTGCACATCGACTACGACCGTCTCTATTTCACTAAGGACTTCACAGCTGGGCTCCTGACAGGAGGAGCCTTCAGGCGCCCGAAGTCTCTGGCGCCAGCAAGAATCCCCTCTTGAAGGGAAAGGAGGGAAGCCCGCGGCTCGCAAGCGCCTCAAGCTGCACGCCGTGGAGGGAAGCGAAAGGCTCTCCGGTATGGTCCTGGCGACGTCTCTGCACAGCCCTCTACCCGACTCTAACGTCTACCTAAGGACAATCTCGCCAGCCAGGCCACGCGGAGAGGGAGCTGAAGGCGGATCTGTGTGAGCGGCCCCCCTCTTTCCGATTTCCGTCTCTGAGACGTCGCACCCAGGCTCTCTCCAGCAAGCTGTCGTCCAGTGCGGTCGACGTCACCAGCGCCTGATGGTTCGGGCCGGCTGAGTGGAGCGGGGTATTGGTCGGTGGGCTTCTGGCCACGCCTGGTCTGCACCATCCCCGAAGAGCCGAAGGGCAAAAAACCCTCGGAAGCTCGCTGCCTCGAAAGCATGGGGAAACCTTTTTGGAGGAGAGGGTGCAACTGTGGAGTCCAGTACAATACGTGGACGAAGCAGTGACCCGCTCCTGTGCCGAGTACCAAGCACGACCCATGAAAACATCACTGTTCAGGAAGGGGAGAAACAAGGGCAACTCCTCCAATCGCAAATCTCTCTATCACATGAACCTCCATCTAGCGGAACTGACCTCAGTTCGATTTCGACCGAAGCGATATCCCGGCAGATACCCAAGATGCTTTCTGCAAATCCACACAATACTGCCGTGATAGTGCATGGCAAGGGAGGACCGCTGCAACGAATTTCGCCCAAGACCCTAATAACCCTAAACCCCTTAAAACCATCGCCCCTTGAGACATGCTGCCGGCCTCGTCGCCTCGCAGCACATGGCCAGGACCGCAGCGGTACAAGAAGTTAGGTGTGTAATCACCAGTCCTTTTCAAAGGGCAGAACACGGCACTGAACGAAACAATATGAAGAAGCTTTCCTGACTTTGAAACACCATAACCCGAAACCCGAAATCGTCGAACCCTGCCGCCGGAGTCACTGGTGCTTTTCTTCTATCCTGTTCCTCTTAGACCCTAAATGAAACCGTAAGCCCTCAAACCTAAACCCACCCTCGCAGTCTCAGCCGCCTGCATGCGCGGTGGCTCGGTCCAAGGGTGGACGAATGGCCTTGGGGCGGGACTGCTCTCCTAGCTTTCTTCCAGGCTGGGGCCTCTGTAGTCTTGCTATGACGATTGTTGCTATGGGCAGTGGGACTTTGTTGGCAGTACTCTCATTAGTGGTATTCTGGTGATTATTGTTACTGTACATATTGGTTGGTGTAAGTATGAAGATTATAATGTTGATTCTACAACTATTGTTTCTGTTATTGTCATTGTTATTGACTATGCTTGTTCATTAGTTTAGTATAATCATCTTGTTGTCGTTGTTGTAAGTGCTATCTTTTTCGCTCAGCATATTTCCAGTACTATTTGCAGTATCATCCCATTTTTATTACGTACTGCCACTATAACAGCCTGCTTGTTCATGTTCTTGCTGCTGTTATTTTTATGATTACTGTTGTTATTAATGCTTCTACTACAGTACTACTATGACTATTACGATGATGATTTTCGTCGTTATGGTCACTGTTATTTCACTCCATGTTATGGTTTAGTACCAGGAATATGAATACCGCTGTTGCTGTTGGGTCCATTGCAAATCTTAGTCACCATGTACCTGCTACTTCGCGCATCTTGGGGCTTCCTTTCGGGCTCCGTGTCTTCAAAGGAGTGCTCCTCAGGCAAAAAGGAAGTGAAAAGGAACCGGGGCAAAAAAGTCGGGAGGGGGGGGGAGGTTTGTCAAAGGTAGCCTGCACCGCGCCGTGTGGAACGTCTGCCGTGAGGCAAGCAACGTGCTCGCCAAAGAGCTCGATGTACTTGAAATCCTGGTTCTGTTGCTCCCTTATGGGTCGCAATGGGATCTTATCTGCAGCAAACGCGAAAAAGCTGTCATCATGCGTCATCCCAAGTTTCCTGATCAACAGCAGCCCACCGTCGCACTTGGCGGCTTCGTTTGTCTCCAAGTAGAACACATTTGCGGCGTTCCCACACTCTTCCCGAAGACCCAGCCGGAAGCTGCGGCCATTGTTGGACCTTGAAAGCCTTCACGCCCTCAAAGGTCGGGGTTTCCAAGTAACCTTCGGCCCAGGCCTGCGGAAGCGCCCACGGCCCTCTCGAAAACGGACAGAAGAGGCCACTGTAGAGTCATACGTGGACACCTTGTTGGCACAATACGCAGGCAATAGAGGCTTCTATCAGCTCTGAAACCTCTTTTCGTACGGGCAACTTGCGTGGAAAAAGCAACTGCTCTGCCCAATTTTCACTGGGCCTCTGGCTTCGAGCCGGTTAGGTTCATGGACGTGTCTGTCTGTGTGCTCCGCGCTGCAGCTCGTCATCTTCACGTACGCGGAGAAGAGCTGGCAGTCCTCAACCTTGCAGGCAAGGACTTTGCGGCCACAAACTCGTGGTTTGTGGTATACAGAAATGGACATCACCTCTATCGAAACAACTATTGAAAAGTCTTCTCGTTGGCACTCCTGGCAGCGGGTTTCGGGCTGCACGGAGCAAGGAAATTACATTTCTGTGACTGCCTCGCACATCCGAGCAGCAAGCTCCACGGCAGTCTCCCTTTGAAATACCGCTGAGTGTCTGCACCACATGTGCCTCGGGAATTTGTGTGTGTGTGTGTGTGTGTCTTGCCAGGTGGAATCCTGCACCAACACCTCCAGGGTCGCAAGAACAGGTGGCACAGGCACCCCGACTTGCCATTCGAAGAGCCCTAAGATCTTGCAGGACAGCTCCAGATGCCCCAGGTGAGACTTCGATTGCCCTCCATCCCAGAGTTTGAGACTCTTTCCTCTGGAGCCGACTTCAATGCTCCCGTCTGCACATTCAGATGAAATAGCGTGAATCCAGCAGCCGATGCTACGCTCTGCCGCAAGCGCTGATAGCCTTCGTGAACCTGAGAACCTCCTCGCGGGTTTGTAGTGACGGGAAGCTTCAGCTTCAACCTGATTCTACCTTGCATGTCCTTGCGACTGGTTCCCAAGGAGCCATCCAGTTCCAGCATCTTTTGGTCCTGGTCGACGGCAGTTCCCATGGCTGCGGCCACACTTCATGAAGACTTTCACCGGAACCGGCGTATTGAGTGGATTTCGGGCGGGGGGATGTCTACGGGGCTTCAGCGTCGCGTGAAGCATTCTGCAGCTACCAAAAGCTTGAGGCTCAAAGCCAAAGAATTGGGCACGTGATTCCTGCAGTGCAGAGCAGGCGTGACGCTTAATCAGTCATCTTGATTGCACGGCCGGGTGTTTATGCCGCGTCTTTCCCTCAATGTCGCTTCGGCTTGCGTGATCCCCGCGGCAAGCCGCTGCAGAAGACTACACGGTTCCTTACGAACATGAGAACCGTGCTCTCAAGGTTCGGCGGTCTCAAGTGCATTTGCAAACAAAAGGGGGAGGAGCATGGGCGCGTTCAGGGAAATGTGGATGGTCAGAGGGTGTCAACGTGGGCGCAAACTTACCCTGAAGAGGCTAGTGCAGGCCGTTCTGGACTGCCTGCAATGGGAGCTGGAGGGCGAGTGAAAAGACGTGCACGGGAGGCTCCATGGTTGCGGCAGGTTTGCCAGTGCTGTCATTTTTCAGTCCCTAAGCCTGAAACCTCAAACCATAAACCCGAAACCCCAAAGCTTCGTCACCTTTCCTCCGAGGGCCCAAGGTGGAGGAGGCCCCGGTCTCCTCTGAGCCGAGCCCGAGCCGCCGAGCTCGAGGTCTGGAGCTCTTCGCTTCGCAGACCCAGGCGCCCATGCAGCTTTTACGGTTTGGGTGTCTGATCTGACCTTGCGATTTAGGGGCTTCGCCGCTTCGCTTCAGGTCCGGGTGTACGTCTTTTTTGGGTGTGCTGACGGGCAGCTGACCGATTTGACCCTGGAGCCTTTGCTTTGGAACGGAGCGTGGAGGCTTAGATTTCGGGGCTTCGCTTCAGGTGCCTGGTGTGCTGCGACGTGCTGCGATGTGTTCGGACTTTAGTCTTGGATCGGGTCTCCTGGGCCCTAGGAAAAGCAAAAAACTTTAGATCTTGGTGCACCCCCCCTTCAAGAACTGCGCATAATGTTTCTTTTCCACAGACTTCGGGAGGGGGGCTGTAAACACGCACACTCGACATCTGCACTCTCAAACTGACAAGCCGTGATTCATGATCAATCGCTTCAAGACACAGACTGTCGACAACCAAACCTTGGTTAATGTTCGTACCAGGTTCGTACCATGTGCTACGGCGAAGATTTGCCTGCAACATCCCGACCCCCTTCATCCATCTTCATCCATCTTCATCCCTTCACCCTCAGCTCTTCTTCCAAACTCTGACTCCAAACCTCCCATTGAACCACAACTCTACAGCATCCTTCGAAATCTCATCGGAGCCCGAACACCCGAAGGGCCTCTGCATGTTTGGTTTCAGTCTAAGCCTTGAACCTTTAGGCGGGACCAGAAAGCAAGGTTTAGGCTTGGGCTTTCTGGCTACCAAGGCAGGAGATCAAGCAAGACGCCCAGGCAGCGTCGAGCGTTCCTGCTTGAAGGCGTTTCAGGCTTAGGACGCAGGACTTGGTGGATCTCGTGCCCGGCACCACAGACTCCATATTCGCTGGTTCAAGCTATACGAGTTGATTGAAGGTACTTGCCAACATGGCACGCCCAAACAAATATGCCAAACCCAGCGTGTCTGCCAAAGGTAAAGTTCCCGACAATTACAGGAGACTGGTGAAATCACGATTGCTACCAGTACCTATACCAACGCTTCTGCTGCTGCTGCGGCTGCTGCCGCTGCTGCCGCTGCTACCATCAGTGTCCTGGTTGCTACCAGTACCGTGACTCCTTCCAGTATTGTTGTGGGCATGACAAAGCCGTCACAGTGCAAGAGTGGCAACGATACAACTCACATGATGAGAGGAAGATTATCCACTGGCGGCAACAGTAGCAAAAGCGACGAGGCCGGGGCAGTCAATCGGTCTGCAAGCGTTCCCCATATAGCGTCTGCCTCCATCACTGAAGCTGCAGGCAAGAGGTTCCTCTGCACGTTTCCTGATCGAGTTCGAAATCCAGTTCATTATGTTTGTGAAATTAAGCTGAGACAAGCCGGTTATCCTGCGCTTGATGCTCATGCCGATGCTGAAGCTTGGGACAGTGGTAGTGGTGACTCTTTGTGCTGGTGCTGGTGCTGGTGCTGGTGCTGGGGCTGATGGGGCTGGTGGCACTGGAGGAGCTGGTGGTGGTAAAGGTTTCTGCTGCTGTTGTTACAGCATCGTCGTCCACGCCGCTGAGATGGTTACCCCTGAAACACGGTTGGTTGTGTTTTGCTGAGCCCTAGTCTATCTCGTGTTTTTTTTTACAGTGTTTGTTGATTTTCTTGCTGTAGCTCCTTCCTTTCTAATTGTTGATTCGATAGCGCCCGGTTCATGAGATTAGCTTCTGACGCATGTGTGTTTGTTCCAATCCTCACTGTGAACGGCGTCAGCAAGCCATGATCGTCATGTCTCAAAAGACTTGGGCGCAAGGTTCAGAAGTATTTTCGAAATCCAGGAGGATGGCCACACTCTACCTCAAGAGCGAGCACGAGACCTGCCAATCAGCTTCAGCTCCTGAATGACGCTTCAGATGCGGGGCACCCCCTCTCCTCCGAACAAAGGGCACAGTGTCGAGCCTTGAGTGACTGAGTTCGCCCGAGGAAAACTTCGCATTCCATCCTGAGCCAGAGGAGCATCGCGACAGCGCTTCTACCCCAACATGGAGCCCCAAGAACCCCCAGTCCTCCATCTCAGTCTTAATTGGGGGGCATAGCAGCATAGCATAGCTCTCTTTGAGTGTGGGAACGGAGAACTTCTCGATGTCTGTATTGGAAGAACGGGCTCCTTGGCTGCAGCCGCGCGTCTTCTCGACAAAGTCGCTCTCGTCCACATCCATCACAACGTTTGTCGATTCGACCGGCCCTCGTCGTCCCCTCGGTGGAGCTCTGGGTTCAAGTGTTCTAGGTTGAAACCTCTGGACGAAATTGTGACAGGGCATTGGACATGGGCCCTGAATGGACAGGCGCTGTGCATGTGCCTGAAAAACAACATCAATGGACACTGTCCTTGAGACAGGCCGCACTGACGGCTGAGAAGGCTGGAACTCTTGCACAAGAAGAACCACACAACCTCGACCCTAAACTCCGAACATCCAGAACCTGCAATTGCGGTGAGCCGAAAAGCGGGCTGGTGCTGCGTGGCCCTCGCCCCCGCTGCTTGGGTTCATGGCCGGCCCGAAGCTGTTGCCCGGGCGTCATTCTGCTGGTTTGAGGGTTCAGGGATTCTGAAGATTGGGAATGTGGGACTCTGTGGGACTGCTGGCTCAAAGTCTAGAGTCTAGAGGTTTATGAGTTTAGGGTATATGATATGGAAGTTTAGGGGTTCGGCGGTTGAAAGTTTAAGGGTTTATGGTCTAGTACCGGAATGTAAGGATTACATAAAGCTCTCGGGATCTAGGCTGGAGCCGACTGATGGATGGGTTTGCGGGTTCAGAGCGTTCATTGAAGTCAAACAAGCAACTTTCGCCAAAGGCTTTCAGACTACGCTCGTACCTAAACACCTGACAACGAATCAAACTGACTCAAGGTTCCAGCAATAGCAAAGCCCTGAACGCTGCATGTCAGAAGAACGGCAGCGAAAAGATGACTATAATCAATGATATACAAAAGGCTCGATGAAACACGCTGAACCCCTAACCGGGGCCCTAAACCCCCCAAAACCCTTAAAAAAAAGAAAAACTTTGAAACAAACCCAAACCTCCCAAAAATAAAAATCTCCCTCACCACCACCGTCGTGTAGAAGTCGCAAAAACAAACACACGCTAAACCCGAAATCCTCGACGTTGGGTCACCGTCCTGTAGTACTCAGAAAGACGAATACAAGTTAAACCCGCAAAAATCCTTGACGTTGTGTCACCGTCCTGTTTGCTTTCGAGCGCGCAAGTTCCGATCCGGGAACCGTCAGCACCAGCCAGTGTCATTGACCGTTTGCACCGATCCAAAGCCAACAAGGTTTGGATCCACAGGGTTTTTCGACAGTCATGGCAAAATTTGACACATAAAGACATTTTTCGACAACGAACGTCACAAAAAAAACGCAATAAAAAACAAATCCGGACAAATAGAGACAAATCCAGACCAAAAAGGACAAGTACAAGCAATACGTTTTTTAATATATGTTCTTAAGCAAAAAGGTTGTTAAGAGTGTTTAAAATATATTCATAAGTTGCTTTTAACAATTTTTAAACCTTTAAAAACGTCAAAACTTTGCAACAAAAGCATTCGAACATCTTTCAACAACTTTCGAAGTGAAAGAAAAGAAGAAGTTTGACGATGTAGAGGATGAAGAAGACCTGGCGCAGGATGTTGTCTGCTGTCAAAGCAACCGACCAGCAGATGGCAAGATAAGCATTTCCCGTCCACCCCGTCCACCAGCAATGGTCGATGGCGACGAACGACGTAGCCATTGGCCATTGCTGGTGGACGTTGCGCTGTTCTAAGTTGACGACACTGTCCAGCGTACCACGTCTGCAACTATGGTACGCCAATTAACTTGTTGCGCCAACGAATTACACTGTCGAAGGCCAGCCGAAACCAGGGAAGGCAGAGCACGGTACAGCAAGCGCTGCATATCAGGTCCCCTGCTGGGTGAAACGACACTGTCTGGCACTCTGCCTTCCTGTGGCACTCTGTCTTCCGTCTCAAGTCCGACACTGGGTGAAATGTCAACAAACATTCTTGGTGTGTGAACACACCTTTGAATTAAATTCAGCCACCTGCCTGGCTCTCAGGTCAGTCCACTTCAACGATTTTGTTGAAGATATTGAGTTCTTGCATGTAGCTGGCGTAGACGAAGAGGGATATCGGCTATTAATTTGGTCATCTACCGTTACAGGGCTTGCGGCAATCAAATAAAATTAGTTTCTGAATGATACTAAGGTGCACGACTTGGTCTTCGAACGATCTGTGCCGCATTTGCAAGAGCTTCCTGGCCAGTAGATGACTTGTTCCCGCCGATAGTAGCTTTCGAAAGACCCGGCG